GTATGGACCATAAATGTTAATTCGTGTGTAAGGCTCGTTGTTTATGTAACATGTATTAGTAGATATCGTCCCTATTTATCACCTATTATTTTTTTTTAAAATTGTTTTAACACTGAAGGAGATATCTCCCCCTATCAGAATAGAAACCCATTTTTTCTTATAACTTGAGTGGTAGTTATGTGAGAACTTTGGTCGGTTGCCCCATTTAAAGTCGGTTTCTTGGTAGAAGGTGATTTGTGCCTTTTGCCTTTTGGCCTCTGTCAGGGCCAGTCTTCGCTTGTTGGGCGAATTTAGACCTTTAGTGTTAATGGATAACAGTGCTCTATGGGAAATATTGTCGTGGCGCCCACAGGATGGTCAAGAGGACTCCAAGGGGCAGTTGTTTGCGGATATGCCCTAGCTGCTGGCAACCATGAGTATTGAATTATGGTTTTTAGGGCTGGTATCTGGGTTGCCCCCAGTAAGGGGTAGGATTAGCAGGTATTCCCATTTGGTATGAGTCATTCCCTTGCTTTTTAGTTTCACAGAACTTGTGCATCTATTTCGCCTTCCGTTTCCTGAAAGTTTTTAAATGCAGCAAATAGCACCTTTTTTCATTCCCTAGGTGTCTTCTCTGAATTCTCCGCTGCTGGACTCTCAGTGCGCTGTATTGCCGCTACTCTTGCTTGGCACTCCTGTTTAGCTTGGTCCTCTGCGTCCACGGCTGCTATCACCTGCATCACAATGTCCCCGGGAGGGTTTGGCCTGAACAGGGTTATCTGTAACATCCGTTAGTCATCCACCGCATTCGGTAGCACCAGTTCGGGTAGAGTGTTAGCATGATCCATCTCCAGCAATTCGTTAGCACCAGTTCGGGTAGAGTGTTAGCATGATCCATCTCCAGCAATTCATTAATTAATTCCCTCTTAGGACGAATGTTCACTGACAGAGTCTCCATCCGCTATGCTGTTACTGCAACCAAGATCAGCATCTTCTCTGGGGAACAAGAACCATCCCACCGCTTGCCACTAGAAGTGGTTCCCTAGAGGAAGAGGGGTCTCACCGCCAAGGATGTTCTCTTCCCCTATTCAGAATGATGCTATCATAATCCAAAGCACCATAATCCAAGCACGATAATGGTATAGCTGTTCCCGACAAATATGACATGAGACCCTATGTTGAGGGTAAGCAGGAACTGTTTTAATGGAAGACACAGATGGCCTTATATACAAGTCCCCATGCAAGGGGTTTCTGCTTACATATTCCAGGGGCATTCTCCACTGGACCGGAGAGGGGACAACAGTAAATGCACATACATAATTACATTAACTCTCAGGTCCAGGACATACCTGAGAGCACTCAAATCCCACAAACGCAGCCAAAACGCCACAAATGAAACTGTTCATCCGTCCACTCAATCTGTGTCCCTTGTTTGGGTGCTTATTCCCATCAAACGCCGCTCTTATCATATGAACCCATTTGAACATACGGAGAGATCGAGGTCCCAGCGGTGTTCGCGCCATTGAGTGTCCGATTATAGTTCCATGCACTCGACAACCAAACACCAGTGTCTGTGTTCATGGCTAAAGATGTCCGCCGCCCCGTGTTCGTACATACAAACAACCACCACCCAGCCAACTGCTAAGAACATTGTGGTAATTGCGGTTGCTGAGGTGAGAACAAAGGTTAATGAGCAGCACACGACTTCTCTGGGTGGTCTGGTCAGTATTCAGTATTTGAACTTCATTGGTCCCAGGTGTTTGGTGAATCCCATATACTGAACCAACCAGTCTAACAAATAAGTAAAAATAAAGAGGATGATAATCCAGGTATGGGAGAATCTGTCACATTGGCCAAAACAACCACTATTTTTATTAGGTTATAGTGATTATTATAATCATAACATTACATTATTAAAAGACACCTGTTTTGTCATCCTCTTACCCTCTTTAGTTAACAGTTCAGTCTGAGTGACATTTTTCACATCAGTCAATACTCCCTCTAAGATCACTTAAGGGTATGTTGGGTATGTTTGTATGTCAACCATGAGTTAAAGTCAAATCTTAGGCATGTGGAGTGTGTTGAGGAAAATGTGGAAGCTTTATGGGTAGATATCTGCTTGGGGCAAATGAAGGGAAATCAATTATTGGTTGGGAAATATTATAAACCACCTAATATAAATATTTATGAGGAAGAACAGCTGTTGAGCAAATTGGGCAACCTGCAAATCGGGGGTGTAGCGGAGTAGAAGTATAATCCATGATATCTCCGCTGGTAGTCGTAGTCAACCTGTAAATCCAAGTAGCGTAATAAGTACAATCCCTTTTTCCCAAGAACTGGACGACACACAGTTTGGGAGTCAACTGAGCTTTTATTGCACCATAGCTGGTTTTATACAAATCCCCATGCAAGGGGTTCCCCTGGTGGACTGTGTGGAAAACTTTGTGTACAATATTTCCTATCATGCTTTCCTGTACTGGAGAGATAATTGCATAAGAGTACACCTTTAATTACATTATCTCTCCGTACAGAAAATCATACAATACAGATCAAAAATACATAACTCGTAAAATATGCATCTGAACTCCCCTTCATTGAATAGCTGTGATCTGAGCACACAATCTTGCGAAATACTGCTCAGATCTGTTAGAATAGAAAAGCCATTCGAATGAAGTTATGGACCGGTCAGCCACGAGACGAGAGCCCCAAAATAGTTCCAGGCAATTGTAGGTTTTGACCGGTCTTCTTTCGGGAGTTAATACGGATTAACTAACGAAATTACACATGGATACGTTGGTTATTTGGGTACAGGGAGTTTGTGAGTTTCAATCTGCCGAACGCCGCTCTGTTTAGACGAATGGATCTATCTGCATGAACGGCATAGAAGTCCACCGGTGTTCACGAGGTCGAGTAACCGATTTTTAGTTCCATGCACTCAAAGACCAAACACCGCTGGGTGTTCGTGAGCAAAGATAGCCGAAGCCACGTGTTCGTTCATACGAATGGCGACCACCCATTAACCATTACAGTTCTGCGGTTTCCTCGATGTTGCCAGTTGTTAATTGGAGACACACGACTCCCTTGTCTGGTCTCCCATTCAGCAGTTTATTCATTTTCATAAACCGTATATCTCAATTCTGTTCCCGAAATCGGCATACGAATGCCCATAGCCTTTTCAGATGGAAATAAATGAATGGACCCAGTCTTTTATATAATGAAGTGGCTAGTTTTGCCACACAGGGTAACACATTAATTATTGGAGATTTGAATTACCCAGATATAAATTGGGATAGAGGGACTAGTACTTCAGCAAGGAGAATCAGATTTTTGAATGTGTTAAATGACACCTTCATATCACAACCGGTACAAGCACAAATCAGAAAGGATGCTTGTCTGGATCTTGTTATAACAAACAATGTTAATCTTCTGACCAACATTCAAGTAGGGGAGCATTTGGGAAATAGTGATCACAATATGGTAATTTTTTTAATAAAAAAATCAAAAGCACGTGGGGTATACTAAAATGTATAATTTTTAAAAAGCACATTTCAATAAGATTAGGGCAGCTCTACAATTTATCAACTGGCAGAAACTCCTTAGTGAGAAAAACACTGAGGATAAATGGAAGCTCTTCAAAAATATATTGGAAAGATACATTTCTCAGTTTGTACCATTGGGTAATAAATAAATATAAAAGAAACAAATTGAAACCAATGTGGCTTAGTAGAGAAGTAAAACAAGAGATTAGAAATAAGAAAATGGCATTTAGAGCATTTAAATCAGACAAATCAGAGGCATCCTATATAAGATAAGCCAATAATACTTGCAAAAAGGCAATTGAAATGGCTAAACTGGAAATCAGAAATTGATGGCCAAAGAATGCAAAACCAACCCCAAAAATGTTTTCAAGTACATAAACTCTAAAAAAACAAAAAATGAAAGTGTGGGTACACTGGAAACAGAGATGGGTCTGTTAGTTACTGAAGACCAGGAAATGGCAGAAATTTTAAATAACTATTTTTCTTCAGTATATATTAATGAGGATCCTATGGCAAGAGATATACAAATGATTGCTACAAAAAACTTGTAGATAATTTGTGATTGGATGACTCAAGACAAGGTGCTATAGCAGTTAAAGAAAATTAATGTAATGCTCCAGGGCCTGATGGTATTCACCCACGAGTACTTAAGAAGCTAGGTGGGGAAATAAGTGAAACTCTGTATTTAATCTTTCAAGATTTTGTTTCAGGTATTGTACCGGAAGATTGGAGAATGGCAGATGTCATTCCTATATTTAAAAAGGTTCAAAATCCTTGCCTGGAAATTATAGACATGTGAGCTTAACTTCTGTGACTTAATATATAATATTCAGGAATTCATTGGGAAGAACTTTGTTATTAGCTATAATCAGCATGGTTTTATGAAACATAGGTCATGTCAAACTAACCTAATTGCATTCTATGAAGAAGTAAATAGAAGTATAGATCAGGGTGTTGCAGTGGATGTGATCTACCAAGGCATTTGCTACGGTTCCTCACAATAGGTTAGTCTTCAAACTAAAAGTGTCATATCCTGTTCCTCGCTGCGGATCATTCTGGCAATGGCTTCTGGTATCCAGTACTCTTTTTGCTAAACTTGCTTAGTTTTTCTTGGTTTTTCTGGTCTGTCTGGTTTTCTTTATTGCTGGGTTTCTGAGTTCATTCTTATATTCCGTCCCTGGATTTCCCAGTCTCTTGGATTTACTTAAATGTTGCCACACCCGCTTGTTTTCCACTTTCCTTTTGTTTCTGCCTGCACCTGCAACAGTGTTTCAAGTCTCTGCCCTTTTTTGCAGGTAAGTGCTATTGTGGTTTAGTATGGCTGTTTTATAATATGCAAAGTACGGAGAGAACGCTTAATATAATAACAGCCAATTAGTAGGGCGCTATTCCTAAAGGTACTCCCTCAAATACCAAAACAACCAATAGTCAATAACAAAGAATGCACACCATATAATATAAAGTATCTATATTTATTACATAACATATGCAAATACATCACAATTAATATAATCAGTGACTCGGTGATTAGTGAGTCACTGATTATATTAATTGTGATGTATTTGAATATGTTACGTAATAAATATAGATAGATACTTTATATTATTTAGTATGGCTGTTTTAGCATACATTAGGCAGTGTAGGACCTGCCAGATATGGGGTACATTGGTGGTGTTGGCAGGCTTGTGCAATGTATGATCATATAATGTAACTAAATCCCCATACTTTTCATATATAGTGCTTAGTTATGTCTCCTCTTGTTTTGCCTTGTATCTCTTGTCTTGTTTTATTTTGTCTTGTAATCCCAGTCCATGTACAGTCCTGCCCAGTCATGCCAATGTTGTTTTCCTCCTGTCTTGTGTAGACATTCTGAGTTCTGCTTTCTGTCCTGTTCTGGTTCTGGGTTCTCCTAGTTTTGTCTTGTTCTCATGCATGGTGCCATTCTCTAGTCTTGCCTTGCTTTAGTACTGGATACACTCCTGCTGCAGAGCCTCCCTATTCAGCTCCTGGGAGGTCTGCTTAATCACCTGCTCATAGTTCCTGGGATACGCATAAGCAGCATCAGGGTTCTGGTTTGTGGCTTCACAAATGCTGGAGCTCAACACCAGGGGGCGTGCAGTTACCCTGCACCAGACCCTGCTAATCCACCTCCAAACTGTGACTCCTACTCTGAACATCAGGCATACTGGGTCCCAGTCCTCGCACCGCTGCCCGGACAGTGTCTGGATCCCGGGCACCAGACCGCCACCCTGACAAAAAGAAATTGGTCTAGATAAATATTCTTGTTCTTGAGTAGAACATTGGCTTAAGGATAGAGTGCAATGAGTTGTCATTAATGGTAAATTTTCAGGCTGGACAAAAGTGATAAGTGGTGTCCCTCAAGGTTCTGTTTTGGGAAAGCTTCTATTTAATTTATTTATAAATGATCTTGAAATAGGCATTGAAAGCCATGTTTTAGTGTTTGCAGATGACACAAAACTTTGTAAAGTAATAAAATGTGAGCAGGATATTGCTTTGCTGCAGAGGGATTTAGATAGATTGGGGGACTGGGCACTAAATGGCAGATGAAATTTAATGTAGTGAAATGCAAAGTTATGCACTTTGGGGTCAAGAATGCACCACACCTTGAATATGGCACCTGTTCTAAGGAAGGATGTCATGGCACTAGAAAAAGTGCAGAGACAAGCTACAAAATAAAAGGAATGGAGCATTCTAGTTATGAAAAAAGGTTAAAAAATTTAAATCTCTTTAGTTTGGAAAAACGACGCCTCAGAGGGGATATGATAACATTAAACAAATATTTTCAGGGCCAGTATAAACCATTATTTGGACATCTATTCATAAACCGGGCTATACATAGGACACAAGGTCACGCATTTAGGCTGGAAGAATGGAGATTTCATCTAAGGCAAAGAAAAGGGTTGTTTTTTTTTACAGTAAGAGCAATAAGGATATGGAATTCTCTACCCGAAGAGGTGGTTTTATCAGAGTCCGTACAGATGTTTAAACCGCAATTGGATAAATACTTGCAAAAACATGCAGGGAAATTATTTCGAATTAGTGGTTAAATAGCTGCTTGATTCAAGGAGATATTTGACTGCTATTTTGGGGTTAAGAAGGAATTTTTTCCTAGTTTGTTGCAAAATTGGAAGCGCTTCAGACTGGGTTTTTTGCCTTCTTTTGGATAAACAGCAAAAACATAAGTGAGGAAGGCTGAACTTGATGGACACAAGTCTCTAGTCAGCTATGTAACTATGTATTGTTTCTCTTTAAACTTAGTTCCATTTCAATCTCAACAACTGACTCTTAGGTATATTGTTAAGCCAAGAAGAGTAGTGGCCACTGTTATATAAAACATATTCATTCACGTCTACTTATTTAAAAAGGTAATAATTTTTAGGCAGCCATTTTCCACATAAATCTTTAAAACTTCAAAATTTACAGATACAGTGCTAATAATACTAGATAAATGTATGTCCCATGTATTCTTATTTAATTAAAAAAAATCCTTAAAACTATCCTCCGATCCCTCCCACATAAAAAAAAATATATATCATCTATATACCAGCGGTAAGCTTGTACATGTGCACTCCAGCTATGTTGTCCATATATAAAAGTGTTTTCCCAATGGGCCATAAAAAAAAAAAAAAATCTTCTTGTTTATAATTCAAGATTTTCAAACTGTAAGTTATTAGTTTTACAAACTTGTTTTGTTCATTTTACATAGATATATTATAATTGTTTTATCATCAATAAATATAGACATATCAATATTGCACAAAAATATTGTAAATTCAGATGGATACTTCCTCCAAATTTCCCCTTCCCAATTGTTTATTATTGTTCATTTTTAATTATTGTCATTTTTATTTTATTATAATATTAAATACCTAATAAAAATTTTAAAATACCTCTTTGTTGTAAAAAAAGGAGTCAAACCAGAAATATTTTTTATTAAAGGTTCACTTAATACATTAAAATATCTACTTGCATTGAAGGTAATGTGTGATCTTATTCTAAAAATTTTCTCTGCTATATATCTTTCCATTGTGGCTGGCTCCCATTTGTATTTTGTTTCCTTTATCAATAGTCTCTCCAGTTTCTAAAAATATGTTCTATGCTAAATATGTTCTAAGCTCGATTTTTTTTTTCTTTTTTTTTTTTTTCTCCTATATTCAAAAATAGACATCATGTCTACAGCCTCTTATTTGTTCAATACCAGGAAAAAAAATACAAATAGGATCTAATAAATAAGGTGGTGCAAATTATGTACAATGCTATGCAAACTTATAAAAATAATCTTTCTCTGTAATACTGTGTCACCATTCAATACCTGCAGCAACCACATACAATCCTAGTAAAACCGATTCAATCAATAAATACTGACAAATAGGTGGGCAAACAAATTTCTTGAAAATTCATTAAAAGTGATATTCCACAAAAATAGTGCATTTAAGTGTCTCAAACTTGTTTTCATGTAGAATGGGCATTCAAAGTGTTCAAGTGACCAAACAAAAGCACAATGCCCAGCTTTGCCTTATCTAAACTAGACTGTGATATAATTTGCTAAATCTGCAATATAAATTTTAAGGAAAATGGAGAATATCATAATTTTTTTTTTAGATGATATTCAATGCTTTATTTAATTATGTGAATTCCAGAGAAGTGACAATTCCCCTCTAAAGAGAGGCCATCAATTAGAAAAAAGGCAGGAAAATGTTCTTTTGACCATTTCTAAAATGGCTCCGATTTACTTGTCTCTAGCTAATGTCTTTTGGGTCTTGTTAGATTTCCTGCAGATGTTGGTTTTTCTATTACACAAACAATTTTTATTGTGTTTTTTTTGTTTTTTTTTTTTTTTTACAGGTAGACAAGTCTGGTGAATGGCTTCAGCTGGATATTGGTTACCCTATGAAGGTGACAGGTGTAGTGATACAAGGAGCACGCTCAGCATTCACTCCCATGTATGTCACTCATTTTTCTCTAAGCTTTAGCAGTGATGGCCATGTCTGGGATGTTGTGCAAGATCCTGAAGGATATCACAAAGTAAGGATGAAACATTTGCTTATTTATGTTCAAAATATCTTATCTTATTTATAGTGTACCTTCTTCAGCAAAGAGAGTTTTATAAAGACAATATAAAAAACAAATGTGCAGATGAATTTGCTAATATAAATCAAACATTAGCATAGCCATTTAGGATGTAAATTACTTTGTTCATGCAGCACTAGACACACCTCACCTAACTGTAACTTATAGAGGTTTCCTGCATATTCTTGAAAAAGATGTGTATATTGTAAACTTCCCTTATGCACAAAGTAGTGTCATTGAGAAGTTATTATCTCCTGGTCTGTTAACTGTCTGCTAGAGACCGCAGCAGCATCTTTTGTGTGATTAACGTTTTTAATGAACCTCTTAATGACACTGCTTCAGAAGCCTGTGTTGCACTTACCATCAATGTTTGCAGTTTTTGCTGTTTGTGTTCATCTGCAAATTGCATTCTTCTTATTTATTTTAATTCTTTAATTTTGTAGTGCATTGTAAATAACAAGGAGAGGGTAAAGACATGGAGTAGGTTGACAAGTATCAACAAGTGTATACAAGACAAGACAGAAATACTGCACCATTTTTTTTAAATCACAGGAAAGACCTTTGTAGTACATAGCAGATGAATAACACCCCCAGATGGCCCCATATGATATCATAGGAAGTCAGAGAGTGTATGTTTCAGTATGAATACACAGTGGTATGCTTCATGAGAGAATCAGAGACAGAAATAAAGTAAAAACAACCTCAAATTAATACAAGCGCCCAACCTCTGATAAACGTTTAGACAGAAAAGGGAGAGGAAGATAGGTCAGCCTATACCCTTTGAGGGCAAAATAATGTCCTGCACCAGAGACTGTTCCATCAGGCATGATAGTCTATTGGTGAGTAGGTATTGCAGCACTGCCTGGGATAGCTGTTCCGACATACCACTGAGCCTGTATACTCACTTCTTGGTTACCGTTATGCCTGGAGTGATTGTGCTCAGATGTCACCAAAATTGGTCTCTCCTTGTGCTTGTTGTTCCAGACAGTCCCGACCAGTAGCTGTTTGCTCCTCTCTCTGAGGTGCTGGACTGTGGGGCGCATAGTCAGCTTTGAGATCTGGAGTCACGATTTGCATGCAAGCAGAAAGCTTTGCCCAGAAGGCATCAAATAGCTCATTCAGTCTGCTCTCGATATCAATCTTCCCACCACATGGGTCAGAGGAGTATGGGGCGCGTACCATTTCAGAGGTAACGTTGTGAGTGCCAATCTCTTTAAGAGTGGCTGTGGATCTTCTGGGGTATAGACTACAATCACCCCTACCTATCCAGAAGGGGGGAATTGAGCAGCAGTAGGATTCAGCATCCAGTATCCGGTGGGTCGGGAGAGTGGCCACCTCTCTCGCTCGGCACCAGCACCAGGCCTTGCCGCTTCCTACTTGGATTTTGAAGGTAATTCAGGTTCCGGTTTCACCAGGGGAGACCTGGCATAGTAGGACAGCGATAAGTCTTAGATGAAAAATAGGGCCAATAGAG